TGGAGATTTATTGAAGAACAAGTACAGACTCCCACATGGGGAGTGGGAAAGAGTCCCACAGAATGGACCCCCAAGTAGGGAGGGGGAAAGGGTCCCACTGAGTTCCTTTTCCCTATGGCTTATAAAGGCTGCAGATCCTGGTGCCTTGATAGCCCCTCTGATTGGTCACTCTTCCCCTAGAGTGGTTATTATAGTAACTCCTGTGCTCAAAGGTCACACCTCACATGGGACATGGAGGTTCTCCCTCTCCTTCCTCATTGTTTTCCTATTCCCGTTGGGCTTTCTTCTTCTCCTTCTGGATGAAGGGCTTCCTTCTCTTTATTTTGTAAATATCGACCTTTTGCTGTTCCCAGCTCCCTCATCCTATGGAAATGTACCTGTTGCAGTTTTTCAGCTCCCTTATTCTATGGAAATATACCTTCTGCTGCTCTGCAGCCCTGTGCTTCCTCCATGGTCCCCTTAATTTCTAAAATTTCCTAAATCTGTCCTATTTTACTCCTAAAATTCCTGTTTCACCAACCTCATTGAGTGGTCCCAGGTGTGCTGTGTAATTTCCAGGTTCTAGGAGTAATAAAGCGTGTTTTTTTCAAAGTTTCTTGCTGGTTATAGTTGAAGGGCATCTTGCAATCATAACAAGAACCTCAAGAACTGGTTGTTGATAGGCTGAGCTCAGTACAACACACAAGGATGCCGAAACCGGTTTGGCTCAGTGGATAGGGCGTCGGCCTGCGGACTCAAAGGTCCCAGGTTCGATTCCTGCCAAGGGCATGTACCTGGGTTGCGGGCACATCCCCAGTAGGAGATGTGCAGGAGGCAGCTGATCGATGTTTCTCTCTCATAGATGTTTCTAACTCTCTATCTCTCTCCCTTCCTCTCTGTAAATTTTAAAAAAACACACACACAAGGCTGTGTCCCTGAAACAGTCCCCATGTGGGGTTGGAAGGCAGAGCATACATTTCAAGAACATGGGGCGAAATGAGGAACCTTTGATTGCCATGGTCCAGCTTGAGGGTCAACTAGCAGCCAAAGGATTACCTCCTCCAATCCAGTCAAAGTCTATTTATTGGTGTCATAGTGGGGCATTGGGACTAAGGGAGGCAACTTCCCTGCCTTCGGTTGGTCACCATGCAGTGGGAAAAGCAGCGAACAGAGAGAAATTCGGGAAAGGGGGTTGCAGAATAGAGAGGCCCAGGGTCCTGTAAAGCCAATGGCACAGCCTAAAGTAGGGGTGGGCAACCCCTGGCACGCGTGCCAAATGTGGCACACCAGTAACTTTTGCTGACACGCGAAACTCTCTCTTATAATCTTCCATTTACAGTTTTTTTCTTAATATCGACTTTTTTATTTTTCAGATAAATTCAGTGTAGGTACATCTTAGATAAGTAAATAATTTTACATAACAAGTTATCTTAAAGATCATAGACATGGATTGACGAGAGAGGGGAAGAGCAATTTCAATAGTGTCGAAAACGAACTATTGAGGACTTGGAATGCCATTCCAGAAAATTTTTTCTGTTTAAAAAACTTTGCAACAGCGTTACTCTCCATGTTTTCATCCACATACGCTTGTGAGTCTTTGTTCTCAGTGATGAATTTTGTTAAGTCTCGTAATAGGAGTAGCCTGACGGATGAAAGTAGTAGCTCGTGCATATCTCTGAAGGTCACGAAATATAAACCTGATGTAAAATCTCTGTCATCAGCGATGCAGCAGCAAAAGTCCCACTGATAATATCAAACGGAGTCATAAAGTTTTCTGTCGGACTATCAGTGTACATGTATACATTAAAAAATAAATGCATTTTTCATCATCATATACTGTGTTTTTGTTGCTCGAATGAATTTTATTATTTCTTCAAAGTTCTTCACATACATACACCTTAAGAGATATCAAGTAGGCGTAACATGCCGAACCGGTTTGGCTCAGTGGATAGAGCGTCGGCCTGTGGACTGAAGGGTCCCAGGTTCGATTCCGGTCAAGGGCATGTGCCATGGTTGCGGGCACATCCCCACTGGGGGGTGTGCAGAAGGCAGTTGATTGATCTCTCTCATCGATGTTTCTACCTCTCTATCCCTCTCCCTTCCTCTCTGTAAAAAATCAATAAAATATATTTAAAAAAAAAAAAAAAAAAGTAGGCGTAACATGTTCTCAAAAAATTAGGGTTGGCACGCAGAAGAATTTTGAGTCAGAGATTTTGCTGGTTTTGGCACGCACTCACAAAAAGGTTGCCCACCCCTGGCCTAAAGGTATGCAGTGGAATGAGAGGCCAGAGGAGAGTTGGCCAGCAGCACATGAATCAGGCCTGGGGGCCCACTCCTTATCCTGGTGCTGGCGGCCTCCTCCGCCCACCCCCCAGAAGGTAGGGAAGAAACCCGGGCTGGCCTGGGTGGTTTCTGAATTCCAGCTGTCAGCCTCCCTGGATAAAGTGGGGCCTGGTCAGAGGGTGGATGATCCTGAGGGGTGCATCAGCCCCAGCTCTCCCCGTCCATGAACACCCAGTCCAAGGAAAAGCAATGGGACCATTGAGCAAATGGAACTTCAAGGCCAGGCCTGACTCCATGTCAACTTGTTATGGGCAGAAATAGAATACTGGGGACTAGCCATAGTTATAAGAAATATTAATCATGCTTTGTTAACATTGATTGTGAAACCGGACAATCACAGTAACTCTCTGTGCTGCCGGTCACTGCTTGAGCCAATTAAGCAGAGACAGCAGTATGGGAGAGCAGCAGGTCATTCATGAAAATCTGCTCTGCACCCCACCAAAAGCCAGCTGCTTATCTTGGGTAGGACAAAGATCACATGGGGAAGTAGGCAAAAAGAATAAGAATGGGTATGCAAGATGGGTATTACGGGTTTGGGGAAGTAAGCAGTGCAGGCTGGGGTGGGACTCCATTGTTTTGGCAACAAGATTGTTAATCTTTCCATGATAACAGGCAGTTCTTGAACTACCCTGGGCTGCATTCCAACACTGACTCCCAGGTCCCGGGGGCGTACAACTCCTAGCCAGGTTAGAACGTGCTACCTTTAATCAGAGTAAAACAATTGTTAGGGGCAAAAATAGAATATTGGGGACTAGCTGTAGTTATTAGAAATATTAATCATGCTCTGTTAATCACGATTTTGTTTTTCTTTTTTATGTATTGTGGCCTCTGTCGTAGACAGAATTCTGTGGGAATAGTCCAGCCTGAAGTGGGGCTGGTTGTGAAGCAGCCCTCTTTGCTGTAGTATCAGCTAGGTTGTTTTCTGTAATGTTTCTGTTTTCCCTTTGATGTCCTTTGTAGTGAATTACAGCTACCTCTGCAGGTTTTACTACAGTTTGTAGGAGAGTATTTCCTGGAGGTGCTGAATAGGGGAGTTCTTTGCTGTTAAGAGTCCCCGTTGTTTTTATGTTGCCATATGGGGGAGGAAGGCATTCCTGGAGTCGGTAAATATGGACTTGTGTCCTTTTCTCAGCTGTAGGACTCTGGTCAAGGCAATGAACTCAGCCTTCGGTCAAAGGCAATAGGAGGCAATGCCAGGCTTCAGTATATCTAGTTTTCTTAATGTCTTTCTTTCTAAACTTATTGCCATTAGTAAACCATACTTTATCTGGATTATCTAATAGCTGGTATTTGAGATCAGCCCTGTTTGAATAAACTTGTTTTTCTGTTCTTACGCAGGAGTGCAAAATTTTCTCCTTTTCCTCCACAGGCACGAGGAATAAGAGTTTGACATACTTTGAGAGTCATCAGGGGAGTCTAGGAGTAAAGCCTGGTATCTAGTGAGGTGTCCCCCGTAAGTCATATGGCCTTTAATTTCTAAGAACCCTTGAATCTAGTGTGGGGTCAGGACCTCTAGTGGCTATCCCAATGTTAACATGGTGGCCTATTTTACCAGGAGCATTGTGGTTGCAACAGCCCTTAAAAATGCTAGCCATGCCCGGCAGGCATGGCTCAGTGGTTGAGCATCGACCTATGAACCAGGAGGTCACAGATGACTCCCAATCAGGGCACATGCCCGGGTTTCAGGCCCGATTCCCAGTGTGGGGCATGCAGGAGGCAGCCGATCAATGAATTCTCTGTTCATTGATGTTTCTATCTCTCCCTCCCTCTCTCTTTCTCTCAAATAAATAAAAATATATGTTTTTTAAAATGCTAGCCATGCCCTGACCAATTTGGCTCAGTGGATAGAGCGTCGGCCTGCGGACTGAAAGGTCCCAGGTTCGATTCCAGTCAAGGGCATGTACTTTGGTTGCAGGCACATCCCCAGTAGGTGTGTGGGAGGCAGCTGATCAATGTTTCTCTCTCATCAATGTTTCTAACTCTCTATCCCTCTCTCTTCCTCTCTGTAAAAAATCAATAAAATATATATTTTTGAAAATGCTAGCCATGCCTGGCCAATGTAGCTTAGTGGTTGAGCATCGAGCTATGACCCAGGAGGCCACAGTTGATTCCCAGTTGGGGCACAGGACCAGATTGTGGGCTCAATCCCCAGTGTGGGGCATGCAGGAGGCAGCCGATCATTGACTCTCTCTTATCATTGATGTTTCTATCTCTCTCCCTCTCCCTTCTCTGAAATCAATAAAAATATAATATATTACAAGAGGCCCAGTGCATGAAATTCATGCATGGGTAGGGTCCCTAATGGCTGCTGGCTGGGGCCTCCCTTCCCCTGGCTGCCTGCTGCCCCTGCTGGCCAGGGTGGGGCCAGCTCGGGTAAGGGGCAAGTGGGTGGTTGGCTGGCCGGCCCAGCCCCTTGGTCGAACTCCTGGTCGAAGGGACAATTTACATATTAGGCTTTTATTATATAGGATATATATATATATATATATATTAAAAGTCCCCTTCTCCTCAAGGGAAGGGTCAGAGGTTCTGCTCATCCTTCACCCTGACCACCACCTCAGTCTCTGAGCTGCCCTGGAGCTCTGCTCTGCACTGGGTGTGGCAGGGCCAGCCATCTCCTTAAAAGCAAACCCGGGGAGAGAGAGCTGTAGGAATCTTACAGAGTATGACCAGTTCCCTCCTGTTGGAAGGTATTGTTGCCCTAGGCGAGGCTGCTGGGTTTAAAAAGAGCTGGAACCCACTAAGCTGAACACAGCCCCAGCGGCCTCCTCAGACCTGCTCTGCGCACCCTGCCCTCAGGTGAGCTCAGGAGAACTGGCTCTCAGGTGAGTAGGCGACTGCTAGGACTTCAGGCGCCTAGGTGGAGGGGTGGGGGCAGAGGGAGAGCCCAGAGGACCAGCCTGAGGAAGGGGTGGAGGTGCCTGGATGTTCTCGGTAACAGGGGTCGTGTTTGGGGGTTTGAGAACTGGAGGTGTCTATTCTGTGACCACTGTCAGATGGATGGTGGGTTGGGGGCTGGAGGAAACAGGAGCCAGCCTTTGGCTAAAGAATGTGTAAAATGGAGTTGCAACCCTCATGATCCAGGAATTCCAGGGCGTGAGAGGAAGAGAGAGGCAGGCTAGTCTAAAGGAGGGCTGGCTTCAGAGACTGCTCAGAGGACACACCCCTGCCTTCAGGGGCAGCACGCTAAAGGCCAACCCTTCATGGCAGTAGGACCTAGGTATTTATGTATTTATTATTGTAACACGTTTTACTGTGTGCTAGCACTGTTTTTAGACTTGACAAATTAACTCACTTAATTTAGTCATAACCTTATGAGGCGAGGCTGCTAATTCTAGTTACCCTCATTTTAAGGACAAAGAAGCACAGAGAGATATGTAACTCCCTGAGTCACACAGCTGTCAAGTGGCTGAGAGTGGATTAGACTTCCCTCCAGCTGAGCCCAGCAAATAGTAACAATGGCTTCAATAGAACACTGACCATCCCTATCCCTCCCTGCAGCTAACAATCTGCAGAAAGTTGGGAAGGGCCTTATCTCTAGGGTAGGGCCACCCAGGGACTAGTTCTGGCACCCTAAGGCAACATGGATGTCCCACCCACCAAGCAGTTTCCTGCCAATAGCAGCTGGAACTCTGAGTGGAATTTGGGGCAGCCTGGAGCAGGGTCCCTGCCGGGCTGGGGTGGGATGGGAGGCTCTGTCTGCCCCTCACAGTCCTCCCACTTCCCTGGTAAGCCGCTGGCTTCTCTGCCCAGCTCGGACTGGGTGCACCCTTTGTGTGAGGTTAGGAGAGCTGGCATCATAGCCTGCATAGTACACCTGAAACTATTACAAAATACTATTGAATATAAACTGCAATTTAACATTTTTTTTAATTTAAAAAAAGGGGGGGGGGGCCTGAGTTAGAACAGTAGCCCTGTTCACCTGACCTTGGGTCAGACATCTGACATAGATTTTTTTTTTTCCTCACCCGAGGATATTTTCCATTGGTTTTTAGAGAGAGTAGAAGAGACAGGGAAAGAGACAGAGAAACATCGTTGTGAGAGAAACACATCGATTGGTTGCCTCCTGCACATGCCCTGACATCCAAGCTGGGGAGGAGCCTGCAACTAAGGTATGTGCCCTTGACTGGGATAGCACCTGGGACCCTTCGGTCTGCAGGCCGAGGCTCTATCCATTGAGCCAAACGGGCTAGGGCCTGACATAGATTTTAGCAAAGCCTTATAGGCACTCACTATGCAAAGGCACTGCTCTAGGCACTTTTATTAATCAATCCGTATAACTCCACATACACTATTATCTCTAATGAGGAAACAGGAGTTAGTAACTTGCCCAAGATGGCCCAACAAGCAAATGCACCTTTGGGGTTGGGGCCCTGCTTTCCCACCTGACTCCAGCCTGACCTCCCCCTACAGCCCTGCCCTGCAGCTGTAACATGGAGGGAGTGACCTGGGGCCTTCTCCTTGTGCTGGCAGGTGAGTCCTCCAGAGGTGATCCTCTGCCACTCACATTCCCACTAAGGCAGTGAAGACCAGGGCAGCATCTCTCAAGGGGGGCCTGATGTCAAATGTGTTGTTGTTGTTGTTAATATATTTTTATTGATTTGAGAGAGAAAGAGAGAAGGAGAAAGAGATAGAAACATCAGTGATAAGAGAGAATCATTGATGGGCTGCCTCCTTCACGCCCCACACTGGGGATCGAGCCTGCAACCCGGGCATGTGCCCTTCACCGGAATCGAACCTAGGACCCTTCAGTCCGCAGGCCAATGCTCTATCCACTGAGCCAAATCAGCTAGGGCTCGAATAAATGTGTTCTCATTTACACTGTCAATTTAAAGGGAAGAGATAGTACAGGAAATAATAGTACAGGGAAGAGGTGGAAATTGCACAATTTATTCTGGGTCATTGAACTCGGGGAAGCCTGTAACCATCTCTTGGCATGAAGAGAACAGCGTCGCCATTTCTTTAGGAAGAAGAGGGTCAGCTAGGGTCTGTGTTGGAAACTTCCCTGGAGAGGGTAGAGATACAAACACGCCATCCCATTAGAGTGCAAGAAAGAATAGCAGGAAGCCTGAGAAATAGCAGCAAGGGCTGTGAGTGAGGGGACAAAGGCTAAGGGATGGGAGACAACCTCAGCAGCACTGTCTGGGGCTGGAGGTGTGAAGGAGGGAACCAGCCCCAGGATGCCTCCTAATGAGCTGTTACCCTTGCCCTTTGGGCTGAGGTCTGCCTGCTGATTCATGTTGAGACCAGTGTCATGAATGATCACCAAATCCTCTGCTTCTCCCACCCAGGCCTGCCTGCCTTGGAAGCCAATGACCTGATTGGTGAGTCCTGCTGTCCCACATTTTCCCTCTAAGATCCCACATCCTGCCTCCAACTTTTGGTCCTTACTTACTTTTTTCTTTCCTACAGATAAAGACAGTTCCTTCTCTTATGGTAAGAGCTGATATCCCTCCCACCACCCCTTCCCTTGCCTATCCTGAACCTCTGCTAGAGGTTGGTGAAGGGTGATGTAGAGCCCAGTGCAGACAGAGCGGGGCTTGAGGGGGTGAGGAAGGAGGGGCAGCAGGGGCTGGGGCTGGAGATTAAAGCGCCAGTGTGGTCACTTACAAGAACAAAGGCCAACATGCAGGCTGGCCTTTGAAAGGACCTCCTTCCAGCATGGAAGGAAGGCACCAGTCATGTTTAGGAAGAAGATTCTGGGGAAGTAGCTGCAGGCAATGGGCTGCTGGGTGGCCAGGTATCTCACACCAACCTTCTTCCTTCCCCTCACTCTCACTTGCCTTTCTCAGCACCCAGTTCCCTGCTGCCCTCCAGCCCCAAAGTGGGTCTGCACTGTCCTCCAATGCCCCAAAATGCCCTTGAGCTCCCTCCTCACTCAGATAAAATGCCACCATTCAGAAAAGCCTTCCTTGATCATCCCTTAACCCCCGCCCCCCACTTTTTTTTTTTCTGTGCTCACAAATACCTTGCTGGAGTGCTGGGGTGGAGCAGGCTGGCCCCAGCTCTCTCTCCTCTCCTAGACTGGGAGGCCCTGCAGCTGGGCGGGATGATCTGCGCTGCGCTCCTGTGCATCGCTGGAATCTTGTTCGCCCTGAGTGAGCTGTGGGGCTGGCGGGATGGGGCGGAGGGAGGGCATGTGAGAAGAGGGGTGGCCCAGGGTCCCCAGGCCCTTTGCATTGATGTCTCTTCCTCTCACAGGTGGCAAGTGCAAATGCAAGCACAATCGCAAGCACAGGTGAGCATAAGGCCCCTATTGTGTGCACCTCAAGCTGAGCAGACTATTGTGGGGAAAATTCCTATAACTTGGAGAAAGAGGACAGCTTGGTGGCTGCTCCCTGGGCTTGCAGTGGGATTATTCACAGATAATCCACCCTGAAGGGGCCCCACATCAGAAAGCTCTGAGCTCTGCTATTGTTTAAAATGACCGTGGAAGAATAGCAAGGGGGCAGTTGGGGACCCTCTCGGGAGGGGGCACCAGGCATCTTGGTGGAGGACAGAAGGTCCAAGTATACTAATCTGATGTTCCTTTCGTAGCCCCTTATCTGAGAAAGCTGTTCCATTCATCACTCCAGGTGAGACGGGCTTCTTTGAGGGGCTTCTGGGCATCAGTCAGGGTGACCATAGCATTTGAGAGTTAAAAAATGATATGCTATGTGTCAGGCGGGACTGTCCCAAGCCAGTCCAGCCTTGGGGCTGCCCAGGGCTGAGCGGGGCGTCTGTGTAGTGACCATGTTGTGAAGACCTGACTCCCATTCTCTCCACAGGCTCTGCCAGTACCTGCTGAGCGCAGGACCAGCTTCGTGGGACCACCAGGGCCAGCTTCCATGCTGCTCCCTCCCCACTTGGGGGCCTTAGGCTCCTTCTGATCAGGAGGCTACTCAAAGCTTATTTCCAAATTAAACTGGTCTCACACCTCCCCTGGCCTGTGACCTTCTGTGGACTGGGCAAGCCAGGCAGGAGCTCTGACATTTTGCTCAGGAAAAGCCAGGCCCTCAGCAGGGTGGTTGCTCATGCTTCCTGGGACCACATGTCTGGCCTAAGGCCTATGCCCAACATGTCTCCCATTTTGAGAACCTCCTGATACTTGATTTCCTACCCCCTTGCCTCATCCATGCCCCATTTGAGACACCTCAATACCAAAGGCCTTACAATTTCCACACCTTGCCTAGAGACCCTAGGAGTCCCAATGAGCCAGGTACCCATGACATCCTGTAACCTAGAATGATCCCGTGGCTCTCCCTCCACTAAACCCCGCCTCACTCAGGGAGAGCTCTCTGTTGCTCACACAGCCCAGGAAATGCAGCCATTCCTTCACTGCCCCACTCTAGTAAAACCCTCTATAATGTTCACACCAACCCATGGACCTTTCCCTCACTTAGGTAATATCCCAAGACCCCACTATATGCTGCATCCCAAGAAGACCACATAGTGCGTTTAGGACCAAAAACCACAAGCACAAGGAGGGTTCAGTACTCAGGGTACTCTACTCATGAATGACATGTGGCCAGCCTGAGGTAGTTTTAGTTACTTGCAGCAAGTAAAGGACACCAGGGATTCACATACAAAACTCTGCCTCTGAAGGGAGCCTTAGCCACTGCTTATATACACTACTTGACCAATTACATGTTGATTTCTTTGCAGTTGGCTACACTTAACCAGTTGAGTTCCTGTCAAGCGCTTCCTGTTTACAGCTACTTCTGCAAAGCATTTAGCATTTAGCGGGAATAGAATTTAGTAAGAAGCACCCAGTCCCCTAGAACCTTGTCCTATCTACCAATATTCAAAAATCCACCCCTGAAACCCCTCACTTGAAAGGTCCCTGCTTGCATGGACTGGGGCCCTCTCCCACCTCAGCAGCTGCAGCCTCGCTGCTCTTGCCAACCTCCACAGCCAAGGGTGTAAGGGTGCGTTCAGTGGAGACCCTGGGGCAGTAGAAGTCTGCTCTGGCCCTGCCTGGCAGTGGCTCCCAGTCTAGGTCTGGATTGATGGGGCAGCCCCTTTTGATGTTGCTTCAAGCCAGCTCTCTGATGGTGTCCTGCTCCAAACCCCCCATTTCTCAGTGGTGCCAGCTCTGGAAAGAACGATATGGCCTAGACCAGTGATGGCGAACCTTTTGAGCTCGGCGTGTCAGCATTTTGAAAAACCCTAACTTAACTCTGGTGCCGTGTCACATATAGAAATTTTTTGATATTTGCAACCATAGTAAAACAAAGATTTATATTTTTGATGTTTATTTTATATATTTAAATGCCATTTAACAAAGAAAAATCAACCAAAAAAAGGAGTTCACGTGTCACCTCTGACACGCGTGTCATAGGTTCGCCATCACTGGCCTAGACTTTGGGTTCCTGGCGTCAGGAGGTCAGTGGGCAGGTACCCTGCCTCCTTCCTACTCACATCCCCAGGCCCTGAGGTCTGGAAATGGTGTGCTTAGACCTGCTTAGAGCCCTTCAAGCAGAACATGTAAGGGGAGGTTTCTAAGGTTAGTCCAGAGCTGCAGCAGGAGCTCAGGACCCTGACTGGGATGCAGGACGCCTGGCTGAAAGTGCAGCCGCTGTCCGAGCTGAGTGACCCGTGTGAGCGGAGTCACGAGAGTGGGCGGCTGCACCAAGCGTTGATCCGCAGACAGATTCTCCAAGCCCCAGCTCTGAGCGGGATGGGATGCACACCCGAAAAGAAGAGTGGGTGGGTGCATGAGCATCAGCGGGTGATGTGGTCAGGCCAGAGGTGACATCTGAGGTGACTCAACTGTGAACAGTAGAAGAGCCAGCCACGCAAACATCTTTCCTAGTAGAGGGCACAGTGTACTGGTATGTGAGCGACCTGCGGGGACACTGGCCTTCATGCTTTTTCAGCTCTCCAGGAAAGCCAGTGTGACTCGAACACAGGCAAAAGAGGAGGCAATGTGGCCACTGCAAGGAGTACCACTGCCCCCTGCTGAGCTGGGACTCGAGGGACCAGGAGCTGCAGGGGAGGGGAACTCAGGTGCTGGAGGAGCAGAGCGCGAAAATGTGAAAATGCGATCCCCAGAGGAGGGCGCAGGCGGGCGAGCCACCACAGAGCCTTCCCCAGGGAGTGCGTGCATGTCCCTTCCCTCCTGGGACACGGAGGGTACTGGTGTGAGTGGATTGCATGTGAGCGAGTAAACATGAGCTCTGCCTAAGAACGCAAAGTCTGTGACCCTTTGTGGGCTGCAGCATGGAAACGATCTTGGCAGGCGCCCCTCTGAGTGCCTGACAACTGCTTCTTCGGAGAAAGTTGGGTCCCCATCGTCTCATGCTGTGACAAACTCTGTTTGAAATCCTTTCAGCAACAAGGAAACCCCAGCATATCCTGGGAACCTAAGTCATTTTGACTCACGATGCCAAGCGCACAGGGAAGAGCATTCCATATTCCTCTTCCCGTGTTGGTCCAGTGGACGGACACACACACACACACACACACACACACACACACACACACACACACACACAGGAACACACAGTTTGCTCTGCTTGCAGCCTGCCAAGCATGGCTCCATTTAAGTTTTGCTTGAACAAATTCCACAGACCCAACTCCTATAAGCACCGATTATTGGGTAAGGGCCCCGCGACCTGCAACCCCAGTGTGCGTGTGTGGGAGAGGGTGGGTGCTCAGCGTCCCTGAGCCTTGTCCAATAACAGGCTAGCGCCTGGTGGTCTAGGCTGATTCTACCTGTCCCAGGCCCCCCAAGGGGTGCAGGGAGGGTGTCTGGGAGCCTTGGGCTAATCCTGGATGGGAGAAGTCAGGACTGTGGACAGACTGACAGAGGGTGATGCAGGATGGATCGGTGTTATCCCCCCTAGGCTGCCAGTGGATCCCTGCAGGTGGGCTGCTAATTCCCAAGGGAAGCGAGCTCTTCCCGGCTCTGGAGGAGGGCATGGGAAAGGTTGCCATAGGATGGGGGAGTCTCTGCCCCGGCTTCCTGTGTGCTCGAGACCCATTCATGGGGCCTTTCTCTCCTAGGGGAGTGGGTGGCTTTAGTCGAAATTTCCTCCTCTTGTCATTTTCTCCCAGATGAGGTGCAGCCCAAGAAAGGACCAGAGAAAACAAAGGGTAATCTTCACTTATTGAATCCTTAGGATGTGATGGACACATAAACAGTTCACATGTTAACGCAATATCCCCAGCAACATGAGACACAGACTTGCATTATCTCCTCTGTGCATAAGAGGAGACTCAGGCTTTCTTGCTTTTGAGCCATTTCTGAAGAACTAGGCTCCACTGCCTTTCTGGTATTTATCATCATCTGAAAGAACCCAGTGACTGTGCCTGTCTGGGGACTCTATATCCCTCCTCCCCTTTAAGCAATCTTATTTTTTCTAATTGCAAACATTTTTCATGCCTATTATAGAAAACTTGAACATTACAGAGATATCTCACTTAGAAGATAAACCAATTTCTAACCCAGCACCCAAAAATAAATCAAGGTTAGAAGTTTGATATAGTCTAGAATTCTATCATACATATTTCTATAATTCTGGAGATCCTGCCAGGTTCCTACGGTAATCAGTAGTTCATTACTTTGTATTGCTGAGTAGTAGTGCGAGAGAGTGCTTTTAAAATGAGAGCCTATTAATTTAAGAAGTTATAAGGTTTATTCTAAGATTAATGACTTGAAAACACTGTAATATTTGTTTCCTAGAAAGTACCAGCATCTTACCCTAAATTTTTGTGTCAAATACTATAAAACCCAGAGTAAGAAAGGCTCACAGCTAACACAGGAGCATGTGACCGGAACCATCTGGGTTGATTACTGGTTAGGTCCTATGCCTGGCTCTGGAGAGGGATTTATTACTCAATCTCAATGCCGCCTTCAGAGGAATATTCTTAAAGCAAGGTCAGATCAACTCTTGTTCAAAATGCACCAAAGATCCCCTACTTAACTTTCAGAAAAATCCCCTTAACATGGCCTATTGACCCTCGGGTCTGACCCCAGCCCCATATCTGACATCAGTGCTCCAACTTCACCTGTGCTCTCCCACACTCAGCCCGCCTCCTAGACACACCACAGGCTGCAGCCTCAGCTTAGGGCACTGCACTCCCCTCCCTCTGCTGGGCCTTGTCCCTATTCCCCAGCATCCCTGCATCCCCAATTCCCTTCCTATAGGACCTTTCAGAGGCCTCCCGGGCCACTCTACAACTACACCACCAGCACTTGTCCTCCTCATGTTTCCTGCTTCTACTCTTTGTATATTGCCTTAATTCATACAATATTTAGATTTCACTGATTCATTTAATGTTCTCCAAAGTAATTCAAATTGGCGCCTGCAGAATTTCCTGGGTTTTGGCTCACAGATTTGGTTCTGATTGCCAGTTTTATGATTTCCACTGAATACATAATGGCCATTTTGAGCTTCTCATGTTCTCAAGGGAATAAAAAAAATCTGATTGTAGTCTTTCCACCAATCTGACATGTTATAGCTCATGGATCTTATAGTTACTCTGTATCTAGACTTTATATTCACAATACCTGGTGCTTGGATATATTTATCAAAAATATCCAGACATAGCCCTAGCTGGTTTGGCTCAGTGGACAGAGCCTTGGCCTGGGTATTGATGTCTCCGGTATGATTCTGCGTAAGGGCATATGCCCAGGTTTCAGGTTCGATCTCCAGTGGGGGGTGTGTTAAGAGGCAGCCAATCAATAATTCTCTCTCATCGATGTTTCTATCTCCCTCTCCCGTCCTCTCCGAAATCAATAAAAATATATTAAAAAATATACATATCCAGGCATAAAAGACAAACTAGTACCAGACAGATAACACAAATACAAAGATGCAGATATTGGAAAGATTAGGCCAAGATTTGAACTGATTGATATGTTCAAGGAATAAAATGATGTTTGGAGATTATCAGAAAAAAAAAATTGAACCTATGAGTTGTGAGTTAAATTGT